TTCATGGTCGAGATCATCATCACGAAGGCCTTATCAACATCCCACTTCCGCGCCCTCAGAAAGCGCAGAGCCAGGGCATCTGGGTGGTCATGCTTGACCATGGACCATATTGTGGCACGCAGGGCCTCGGGACTCTGACTGGCCAGAGCCTCGAGGAATTGCTTCGTCTGACCATACTTGTCTTCTCCATCGTCCTTGATGTGGCTGCTGACGGTGCTTGAGGAAGCACCTTCCTCTTTCTTGTCTTTGCGATTGAAAAGTGAGACGCGTTTCTTCTTGGGCTTCTCATTTTTGCCTGGAGTCGAAGTCTCACTCGGGGCTGTGCTTGCGGCCGCGCCGTCTGCTGTTGCGTTGTCTTCGCCCAAGGACAGAATCAGGTTCCACAGCTTGCGCAACTTCTCTTCCTGGTCTGGGGTAAGATTTCCCGGTCTTCCTGGGGGCATGCCGGACGCCATGGTTTCCAGCGACAGGCTTTCGGAGCTCAAGGGGTCGTCGGTGTTGGTGCTGGCGCCAGGTGCTGATTGCTGGTATTGCAGGCCGAACCCAAGGCAAATGAAGAAAACCGCGATTGAGAGTGCGACGAAGTCGACGCGGGACTGCAGCAAGACGCGCGGAGGCTTCAAGTTGGAGGGGTCCGATGACTGTCCTAGTCCGTGTGTGCGGACTCGCCTGAACTTCAATGGTACGAGATGGCAGTTGGTTCGCCCAATGGGAAGTTCAACCAGGGTGCGTCGTTCAAAGTGCGAAGACGAGGGCACAAAGAAGTATCCCGAAGTTGTTGTAAGGACTCTTTGTGGAAATGTGATAATGCGAGGCAAAGCCGAGGATTGCGGTTTCAAGCTGGCCAGCATCAGTCGAGAAGGTCTATTAATGCCCGGTCCTAATTTGGCGCAGCTGACACAGAATCTGGCACGGTCAGCAGGGTCATCCCAATTTGAGGTGCGTGGAAGACGAAAGCCACTTGCAAAAGGGCGACGTGAAAGAGCCAACCAGGTGAGACCGAGGGAGTGTTGCTAAAGACAGTTCTCGTCTGCGACTAGGCGAGGAAGAAATGCCGTAGTAACACAATGGGATGAGCTGAGAGTCACAGAAGCACTTACGCGGACTTGAGGGAGACACCGAAGAGTAGAGTACCAATGTTCGTGGGTTGTCTGATGCTGATGAGGACCACAACCGCAGACAACAGAGCGTCGATGATGGTCCTAAAGTGGGCTCGGACAACAGCAGCAGCGATGATATTAAGCAGACAATGTGGCAAGCACACGGCCGACAGTTACGGACAGTACACAGTGGCCTCGTTGTTGTTGGTAGGTGGTATGCAAGTAACAGGGAGAGAGCGAGCGCCGCAAGGTAGGTTTGCGCCGGAGCGGTAGCTGACGCTCAGACTGTGATGCTGAGCCGTGAATGATGCGGGCGGAAGACCTAGCTGGCGGGAGCAAATGGAGGGCAGTGTTAGGGGGAAAGGGAGGGGGGGAAAGGAGGGGAGGGAGGGAGGGACGGGGAGGCTTAGACGTGGACCAAGACGACGACGACGACGCCGTCGCAAGGATCGAATGCTCTTGCTGGCGACCAAGAAGCTGCGGTAGCTATTCAATCTCCGGGCGTTCCGGAAGCGAGTGGTTCAGTTCAAACGCACCAGCAGGACAGGACAGCTTCCGTTAATGTGGGTAGGTAGTAGTTAGGCAGTCTGGAGAACAGCAGCTGTAAAGATCAGCAGGAGGTGTCGCGGTGGATGGCGGGTGTGATGCTGAAACTGTGGACTACGACGAATGCTTCTCCATGAGCGCGGATGTGAGTAAGTGTGCGCGCAAGTGTTGGGGCAAGGGAGGGGAGGGGAGGGGTAATTAGGTGCCTGTCTTTTCCAGGCTGTAAAAAAGGTGGCTGTGACGGGAAGGAGCGAAGACGCTTCGAAAGAGGTAAGGTAGGTTACAAGCAGCGCCCTATCTACCTGGCCCTCCATACCTTACCTACACTGTACCTTCGGTATTGTTGACTGCCATCCAGATGTTTAAGACAATAGATGATAATGGAGCCGAGCGATGAAATACGACGTACTCTGCGTATTCGTATGAATGAAGTGCTCAAGGTATTCGTATCGCATCCACCGAGGTTGCGCGAAAAAGCCCGCTGGCTATTGACTTCCGTTGCGACTCCCGGTCACTCAGCACAGCTTATTCCACCTGCAGATACTGGACTCGCCCACGCGACCTCACCCAGGCTAGGAACCTGGGGAACACGGATACAGGTACCTGACGTATCTAGCTGCCCATGCGACGAATAAGGTCCAGTGCCTTACTAGGTAACGTGCCGAGGTCTGCGTCATTCAGTGACATTGCACCAAATTCTGCTCCCCGTCGAGTACCTATTATAATTATAATTAGGTACAGTGGTTGACCCCTCCACGCCAACACGTGCAGAACTGCAGTTTTGGGGATCCAACTTACAGGGCCCGGGGCACCCTCAACGATGTGGTAGATTCGTCCCGGCCGGCAACCTTAGGTGCGGGGGGCTAAGGTACCTTACCTTAGGTTGTCAGGTTGAACCCCGCCAGACACAGGAACAACAGCCGTGCGCAACGGCCACTCGCATCATTCCAGGTTTGTTGATGTTGATTCTCGCTTCAGTTAATGCCTCCCGAACCCCTTCGACAGCTTCCTGCGTGAATAGCCACGCCGCGAAAATACTGATACCGACGCTGCGCAGATAGCCACCTACCACGGACACTTCATTGTCGGCAATCTCTATACTCTCCATATCGACATCACACCGCCTCCTAGCATGGCCGACCACCCCGAGTCCAGCGGCAAGCGGTCGACCTCTCGAACGCGTACGTCGCGTCCCACGACCCCGCTACGCCCCTCCTCCAGATCATCTTTCAGGGAATCAGCCAGAGAAAGCGTCCATGGAGGCGAACCTTTCCCTCTGAACACTTTCGAGCCAGCTTTTGCTGAGCTGTCTGACGCCATGGCCGACCTCGAAGCCAACATGATGCACTTCCAATTGATGCATGAGAGCTTGGCTCGCTTTAGCGAGTCTTTTGCCAGCTTTCTGTATGGCCTCAACATGAACGCTTTCTGCGTAGACTACCCAGAGGTGCGTGTGCCCTAACCAGCGGCTTTCTTGCTTTTAGGCGTGGCTGACGTTAGTACAAGGGGCCCATAACAGAATCTTTCCGACGCGCAAGGCAGCAAGAGGAGTCGGGCGCACATTCAGGTACGCCTCGCTTTCAGCGCACAGAATCTGCAGATCATGGATTGCGAACTGACGAGTCTCGTATGCACAGCGCCCGCTCGAACAGACACTGGGCCAGAAAATGACGGCGAGATGACCTTTATGTATTTCTTCCAGGCTACCCTAGTACCGCCCTGGACAGTTCCTAACCTACCAACAGGACCACAGATGTTTCTTTCGTCGACAACCCTCCCGCATCCGCCAAGCCGACCCCGAGATTGAAAACACCCGAAGTACGAGGCTCGCGTGTGCCGGCTCCAAGTACTCGTGGCACTTCAGCCCGTGGCGCAAGAGGAGGACGCCGTGGAGCCGCCGAGTCGCAAAGAGGCCGGCCTAGCGGTCTGGCCCGTGCCCGAGGCCGTGGTGTCCGATGAGTATGTTCCATGTTTCGCCATGGCATACGATGCAAGTTGAGGTACTGCTTGCCCACCGCGCCGGATTCTACTGGCGTCAGTGCAGAGGATGTCGAGTACTGGGAAGTGGGAACGGGATGATACAGTGGCCATTTCAGTTCGTCATTGTGAAAGGGTATCATTCAGTTGTCTACTTTCAAGCCACAGGTAGACGTGTGGGCGTAGACGATCAGGTCTCCATCTCAACCTCCTGGTCGATGGCCCTCTCCGGACCGCCCTTGCTAGGGCCCTTGTTATCCGTTCGAAGACCAACGACAGCCTCGGCTTCCTTCTGGGTGTAGGGCTCCTCCTTGAGCTGCTTGACTCTTAAAGAATAGTTAGCAGTGTGACAATACGAAGAGGACCAAATATGTAGCGGATGCCGACTTGGTACGAACCTGCGCTTATGAGGCTTTCCCTTCTGATGACCGACCAGGCTGATCTCGGTTTCGAACCATTTGGCGCATTCGACGCAATAGTGCTGACCCAAGCCAGGGAGATCCTCAAGCGCCTTCGTGTCCTTCCATTGCCGTAAATGTCGTGGAGAAAGCATGTCGGCCTTGATCTGGTCGACGTCTCTGTCCAGGTTGTCAGAAACGCCCCTGAATGCAATGCGAAGTCTTCGGGCCTACCTCAACTTCCTCCGCGTCTTGGTCAATGTCCGCTTGTTTCCCACGCCCATTTTGCTGGCTTATCAGTGATAGTTGGCTGGAAGGGCAAGATCGCAAGCGCGTTCGGGATGCTGAAGGTGGCAGAATTCCCAAAAATGTAGGTCGAGATGGCAATGGCGGGGCAGAATTTGGGCAGTAACTGTAAAAAAGTTGCTTCACCGCTCACGGGGGTCCGGGTGTCTGTTCGGCTCCGGACCCATCAAGCGAAGACGGGACTGCCAGGTGCACCACACCTACCTACCTACCCTAGGTACCTAAGGTAAGTAGGTCAGGTAGTGGGTACCCAGGTCACGTACACTGTAAGGTAGGTACCGATACCTACGTTATACAAGATTGGCGCTTAGTGTCCCGGGATAGTAGCCTGGGTCGGGTATGTGACATGTCTAATGTTGCTGGCAGGATAAGATCACGTGGTGATAAGCCGAACGGTCTGGAACTCTGGTCCTTATCTGGCATTTTTGGGGGATCGTCCGAAGAGGGCCGAGAGGGCAGTGGGCATGCGACAGGCTGTCTTCAATTTCCCACTCGCCGCCAGACACGAGCGTGCTTGATCCCAACTCGAGGTTCCTGCGTCGCCCTACATCAACTTTCCACCGAAGCGATCGCCCAGAGGATATATCAAGGAAACCCCACCAGAACTGGCCTGCGGAACCCTTGAGGATCGCGCGGAACTGTTGCCGTCGTCGGATCCGAAGAAGGCGGAACAATGGCCTCCAACGTGACGTCCTTCAGCACTCTCAGGGCCCGGTCCTATATCTTTCGGCTACCTCTTTTTACGCGCATCGTGTTGCTCGCAATTGTGGCAGCATGGGCTGCCAGCTTACAACCGGCTTGGGACGTGAAGCAATGGGGCGCGTTGATCCCAGACCAGCTGTCCTTCACGTCGTGTGAGCCCCTCTCGCATCCTCTTCTGCGAAGACCGAATTGCTAATTCTGGCTTCCGCAATAGCGTACCGAATGAATACATATCCCTTCGTTCATGTTAATTTCGTCCATGTCATCCTCAACCTTGTCGCCTTGACACCGTTACTGGAGCGATTCGAGGCCGAGTTCGGTACCCTGACGTCTATTGCGCTGTTCATCGGCCGTACGAACTTCCTCACAATATCCCTGCGATCCATCTCTGACTGAACTGTTGGCAGCGCTCTCAACGATTCCGGCTGTCGTATACGTGCTGATCGAGCGATTTCTCTTCAAGGGCAATGTTAGTGTTATGGGCGCTAGGTAAGGAAGAGAACCCAAGACTTGATGAATGTAGGAACCTTGAAATGGAGACTGATGTCTGGCGCATCACAGCGTATGGGTCTTTCTTCTTCTCGGAATGGAGGCTATCCGCACATACAAGACGAACCCTTACTTGACGATTGCGACCCACTCCATTCCTACATGGACAACGCCATTGATCCTCGTTCTGGTCGTTACAGCGCTCGTTCCCGGCACGAGTTTGCTAGGCCATCTATGTGGTGTTTTGGTTGGATATCTTTGTGAGTCACGACGTGCAACCACCCTTCTCATTTTCCGGAACACTAACATTCTGCCTTCAGTCGGTCTCGGATATCTTAAGTTCCTGAGCCCACCGGAGAAGGCGTTGCGGTGGGTTGAGTCGAAGCTGAACCTCTTGGGACGTCTGCCTCACTACGTAAGCGTCGACCAGAAGACGTACGGTCGTTTCGGTGTCTTGCCCTCCAGCAGCCACCCTCCCGGTACAAGCGCGCCCATTGCTCTGGTGGGCAGCACGCAGAGACTCGGTCCTTGAAACAGGAACGCCGGACTGTACTATATATTCGATCTATTGCCCCAAGCAGACGAATTGCGTCTTGGTAGGAGTTTGGAGTTACGTTACGGGCAAAAGGGGACATCGTTGTGTTGATTCTGGTCCCTCTGCCAGAAGCTCCTCTTTGTAGTATATTATAAAATGGGATTCGTCCTCGCCCATTCTCGGGGTGCGCTTAGACTAGCACTTACAAAACCCCAGGTGCTTGAAGTAGAGTTAGTCTGAAAACCTGAATGATAAGATATTTCATGGGTGTGTAAATTATTTGGCAAAACCTGAATGTCGCACGCCTACCAAACATCGATGGTAGAGGATACAACAGGCAAAAGAAGCTAAATTATACATTGTTTTGACCGGACCTTTTGACCGGACCCTGGACGTGTCCCTGCGTACCTATTCGTCGAATTGTGTTTCTCGGGCCTCAATACCCCCGGGCCATCTGACCAGGGGTAGGTAGGTAGGTAAGCTTGGCCAACGCGCTCGGATAAATGAATATTTGGGCGCCGATTTCTGGGATCGCGAAGTTACAGCACAGGTAAGGCACTCGTAGCGTACCTACCGTAGGTACCTTACCTTAGCTGACAGGGGCCTGACCTCACGGTACGAACAACAACCCCTGGAGATGACGACTGTCTTCAAAAGAATCACCACGCAGACTGGTAGATCAGATTTGTGCGATTGCGCAGCTTGTTGAAGCTGCCGCAGAACGAAATCGTCATGTCACGACTGATATGTGAGGATGCAGCCCGCCGTGGCCCTGACTGGCATCGAGCAGCTCTGACTTGTCCCTAATAGCTTCGGCCCTTTCGTTGCGACGCGATCCACGCATCCTCAAGCTTCCGCCCTATATTTCTCTGGCCTGCATCCTCGGTGGTATTGCTTGGCTGTTCCTCCTGCCGCTCAACGACTACTCCCGAAGAACCTACATTTCCGAGAATGCGCTTCTTCCCGGTCAGGTACACACCTATTTCGGAGGCAGCGACCAGAACGTACTGCGGGCGTATAAGCAAGAGGTCAACTCGGTCAGGGACAGGTCCAACTACGAGTGTGTGCACTCCCATTGAAGCACCCCATAGCCACAAGCTGACGGTCATCCCCATCTAGAATCAATGACAAGCTCGAAAGTATCCTGAAGAACGTCGGTCTCAAAGTCGGTCGCCAAAATTACACGTACGAGTCGGCCGGCGACATTTACTCAGGCGAGAACATTTACGCCATCCTACAAGCCCCACGTGGCGATGCGACGGAAGCGATTGTGTTGGTGGCAGCTTGGAGGACGGTCGATGGCCACTTCAATCAAAATGGTATTCCGCTAGCATTGACCCTGGCCCGTTACTTCAAGAGGTGGTCTCTATGGTCCAAAGACATTATCCTGGTTGTCCCCCCCGACAGCAAAACAGGAACCCAAGCGTGGGTCGACGCCTACCACGACTCCCATGACTCCGCCAGAGTGAACTCTCTACCTCTCAAGTCCGGCGCCCTCCAAGGCGCCATTGCCATTGATTATCCCCAGGAACATCGATTCGAGTCCATCCACATCATTTACGATGGCATCAACGGCCAGCTTCCAAACCTAGATCTCATCAACTCTGTCGTCAATATTGCCGGGGGCCAGATGGGTATGGGAACCGCCATTCAAGAGATGTGGACGCACTCGGACAAGTACCAGGACCGTCTGCGTACTATGCTTCGAGGCATGCTGAATCAAGGCCTGGGACACGCCTCTGGCCCCCACAGCAGCTTCATACCTTACCACGTCGATGCGGTCACACTGCAGCCTTTCGGTGAGGGATGGCATGACGAGATGGGCATGGGCCGTACGATCGAAGGCACTTTCCGGAGTCTGAACAACCTTCTCGAACACCTCCATCAGAGTTTCTTCTTCTATCTGCTCATGCATAAAGAGAGGTTCGTCAGCATCGGCACCTATCTGCCTAGCGCCATGATCTTGGCAGCAAGCTTCACAATCACTGCCATCTCGCTGTGGGTGAAAAGTGGTCATCAAGAACAGCCTCCCATTGTGGTCAAGTCAGAATGTGAAGTCACCGCGAATGATAAGTCTTCCGAAGATGCTTTGCGGGAGACAGACAAACACACGCTTCGCACTAGAGCCGTTGAGCGGGATCTGTTCCTACCACTCGGTGTCGTGGCCATCTGCCAGTTCCTAGGCGTGATTCCGCTGTACGTCTTCAACCACATGCCCGCAAGTGTAAGTTTCGACCAATCCTGAATCCTGAATTATTTGGCTTTTCTCTGACAGCTGCAACAGATGCTTGCTGGGGCGTACACGGTCTTTTCGCTCACTAATTGTGCTCTGCCCTTCCTCATCTCTTCGCTGATGACATCCGCCTACAACCCTACGGTTCAGCAATACCAGCTCATCAAGTCATTCTCCCTACTCTTGTTGGGCATGTTTCTCTCCGCTCTAGCCACGCTTAACTTCTCTCTGGCCTTTCTTGTGGGGGTTATGGCCAGTCCACTCTCCTTCATGCACCCATGGCCGCACCATCCTGCCGTTCGGTGGGCTTGCGCGGCTTTCCTTCAACTTATCTCACCTACGGCAGCTCTTTACTCCGTCTCGACTTACTTCAATATTAGCATTGGGGAGGTCCTCAAAGAAGCTGCTTTCGGTTGGGACGTTTGGGGCATGTACACGCCTGTCATAATCTGGGGTGTGTGGTGGCCTGCTTGGCTGATGGGTTCGGTTATTGTGCTCGGGAACCCTGCGTCCTCAGCGAAAAGGGCTTGATTCGAGTTATTGGCATTCAAGAAAAAACAGTGAGGCGTTATAAGAAGAGGGCATGTTTTGGAGCAACCATTAAATCAGGACTTGTATATCAGAGGCATGGAGGCCGTTGTCGTTTGCTTGTCATCGGAATCATTTTGGCCCACCATCAAGGGCCAGTTTCTCTTCATCTCTCTAATTCTAGTGGTGTACACTGGTCTTTGCTACCGACCAACATTACAGACGCCTTTTTGGTCAGCCCGTAATCTTTCCTCTTCCTTAAGCAGCCCACACATCGCCACCGGCCGTCTCGATCCAGTTTCCCAGCTGGTTAACCTGAGAGTCCCAGTCAAGCAGCCGCTGGCGCATGTTGGCAATCTGCTTCATGTCAAGAACCTTCGGCTGGACCCAAGTAATGTGCGCAACCTCATCCACTTGGTCAATGTTTCCACGCAAGAGACCCAGGCTCAGGGCCTTCATGATCAAGTGCTCAATCTCGTCAGGGCGAACCTTAGTCTCCTGAGCGATGGTGCTGAAAGACATAGCGCGGTCGTGGGGCGGGCGGCGGAAGACGGCCTCTGTCAGAGCAGCCAGGTAGATCTTCTGGCGCAGGTGGCCTGCATTCTCGTTGAGGAGTTCCTTTGAGCGCATCTTGGCAGAGAGAGCCTCGAAACCCTGGAGGTCGCCACGGTTGAAAGCGAAGAGCAGGTCGCGGAACCACGAGTCCTGGGTTCCCTTGAGGGCATCGAGGATGGGGTGCAGAAGAAGCTCGCCAAAGTTGTAGATGGTGTCGGATACCAAGGCGGCGATGCTGAGGTGCAGCGCCCGTCTATGGCGCTCTTGAGCTGTGAGAGAGTTGAGGTCGATGCAGGCGAGGTATAGGAGGGCATTGCGGTAGTATGCGGCAAAGTCCATCTTGCGCTACGGGAAATTTCAGTCAGTAACGGCCCGAGATCGATAATACCACGATTTTCCTACCTGGTAGTAATTGGCATTCGCATCGTAAAAGGCGGCGTGAACAATAGTCTCGACCGAATCGAAGCTGTCCAGTATTCTCTCGGCCGAATCGAGGTCCTTCCTGGCGCCGTCCATGTCCTCCAAGTTCAACTTTACTCTAGCAACGGCGACAGATGCGTACACCAGAGCATCTTGTGAGTTCTCGCTATCGACCTTCTTCGCAACACCCTGAAGGAAAGAGAGGCGCTCCTCGTCGTCTATGCCGTCTTTGTCAGTGTCCCACCATCACTGGTCAAGGTCCCAATGCTTCTTACCCTTACATTCCGTGGCGGCCTTCAAAGCCAGATCAACGAGCTTAAGCTGGTTTATCTTATCCGCAAACTTGAGGATGAAGACCTTGTAGAAGGACAGCCGCTGGGCCTTGCTGCCTGGGTGGCTAAAGAACTGACCCAGAGCATCGGTAAGCTGGTGCCACAGCTTCCGCTCCCAGTAGTTCTCGAACTCCAGAACAAGGTGCTGAAGCTCCTCGGGGGCCTCGTCGCGCTGCTCCGCCAGGAAATCGGGAATCGTGTCAATGTTCATCTTCGTGGAGGTGGAGGTTGAGGTTGAGGCTCGTGTGGTGGGGTGGGAGAGCTTCGAGTGCCCGGGGCGACAACACAATCGAGGCTGATTGCGATGATCACGGTTTCGATTCGATTCGTAGGTATATGGTAGAGGCGCTACTGCCTAGAGACCGGGTGTCTGTTTTGGTGGTGCCAAACGCCGGAAGCTTCGTGTGGTTGTAAAGTTGGTATATGATGGATGCAAGCTCCGGAGGGACGATGCACATAACGCGGCTAGCCAGCAGCCTGGTCAGTCAGCTACGTGCTGCCTACCTAAGATACCTACCTAAGGTACCTACCAACTCTTGCTACTCAGGACGCTTTGGGACTGACAATCCTTACCTAAGCCGCGAAGTGAGGTACGGATACGGGTCCCGACCGGATCCATGCTACAGCCAATGGCTGTTTTTCCGATCCTATGACCAAATCTGGTCCGTGCCTCCACGTGACCCGCCTGTCCGCCGCCCCGGTCTGGATGAAGCTCGCGACTTTGGAGCTTTCGGCTACGCTGAAGCATTCACGTGGCAGTCAATTGGGAGGCTATCGCACTCATTCATTGCCGCCTCGATATCCGACAATGGCCTCCTTTCCGACCGCCGTGCGGTCAACCCAGAAGGCTGCGCACAATGTCCTGAGAAGGCAGCCCATTTCTGATGTTGCCATCACCCGGACGGGCAAGCCTATCCTACGAACGCAGGGCGGAAGGTAGGCGGACGGTTCAATTGCGCGGGCAAAGAGTACTGCTGACACCATGTTCTTCCTAGACACTCCCTCGGCGGTATGCTTTCCTTCGCTCGACTCGGAAATTTATCTAAAAACGAATCACAGGACACACTGCGACGGTATTTGGCGCAACGGGCCAAGTTGGACGGTACATCGTGAACAGACTTGGTACGACGCGGATATCTTCGACGATGGCAACACATCTGACTCTCCAATATAGCCCGCCAGGGATGTACGGTCGTCATTCCCTTCCGTGAGGAGATGGCCAAGCGGCATCTCAAGGTCTCGGGTGATCTGGGCAGAGTCGTCTTCATTGTATGGTCTCCCTACAACAGAGGGGTTCATCGCGATCAATGGCTAAACATTACGTCAGGAGTACGATCTCCACAACACCCAGTCAATCGAAGAGAGCGTCAGACATTCGGATGTAGTTTACAACCTGGTCGGCCGAAACTATCCCACCAAGTAGGTTATCTGTATGCAGCGGCCCCGGGGACAATGGCTAAGAGCGCACGCAGGAACTTCTCGCTGGAGGATGTTCACGTTGAGGGAACCGAACGTATAGCTGAGGCTGTTGCCAAGTACGACGTGGATCGCTATATTCACATGTCGAGTCACAGCGCCAGCCTGGACTCCCCATCCGAGTTCTACCGCACCAAGGTTAGATACAGAATACTCAAGACAAAAGTGATGGTCTAACCAGTCCAATAGGCGCGCGGAGAGCAGGTCGCCCGCAGCATTTACCCCGAGACGACTATCGTGAGACCGGCACCCATCTTCGGCTTTGAAGACAACCTTCTCCTTAAGCTTGCCAGCGTTATGAACCTGTTCACTGCCAACAACATGCAGGAGAGATTCTGGCCCGTTCACGTACGTTTGAAACACGAATATTAGTTGAAACGCGGGCCCTGACACTTGTAGTCTATCGACGTAGGTCAGGCTCTCGAGCTGATGCTCTACGATGACAGCACCGCTGGCCAGACTTTCGAGCTGTACGGTCCCAAGAACTACTCCATGGCCGAAATTGCTGAGTATGTCGACCGCGAAATCTTCAAGAAGCGCCGACACATCAACGTTCCGAAGAAGGTCCTCCAGCCTGTTGCCGGGCTGTTGAACAAGTTCCTGTGGTGGGACGTCATGTCCGCCGACGAGATCGAGCGTGAGTTCATCGACCAGGAAATCGACGAGACAGCAAAGACGTTCAAGGACCTCGGCATTGAGCCCGGTGACATCGCCAAGTTCACCTACCACTACCTGGTAAGACCGCGTGTGAGGTTTATCTGGAGATGGCCGATACTAACTATGCTGCAGCAAGGATTCCGCAGCGGCAACTTCTACGACCTCCCCCCAGCAACAGAGAAGGAGAAGAAGGAGGAGCGCAAGTACCTGCACGTTCTTGACGACCAGTAAGCCTGGATCCCATTTACTGGGGAGGGATTGATTCTGGGCCAGCAAGTCGTTTAGAGTGTAAATATTAGTCAGCTAGACAAGTTGCAAAAGTCGAGGAATTCATGTACAGTCTGAATACGTCATTTAAGAGTGCAAGTCTAACTGCGGCCGCGAGATTGTACGTAGCGGTAATCGTCAAGTAAAGGTTTGCGGTGCCAGCTGATTCGTTGAGGTTGCTGTGCTGGGTTTTGACGCTCAAAATAGGGTCCCCCACCCTCTTTTTGCCGTTTACCTCGCGCTGCAATTACCAAAACCCAAGTGCTCACTTGATCCACCACATCGCTCTCGTCAACCGTCGAGCCGTACTGACCTGAAGAAGCGGATCCCTTACTGAACGTAGTCTCAACATGGACAGTGACGACGAGCCTCTGTAAGTCGTTTGTTAGAACCGTCGGAAATTTTCTCTCCAAACGCACCCCCACTAATCAAACGCCCCTCGAAAAACCATGGCAGAAACTGACTTACATCAATCAACAGCACCCTCTCTTCTCACGCTCTCGCGGCCCTGGCTGAGTTCAACGCCGAGAAAGATGCCCACCAGGAAAAGTTTGAGAAACTCAAGGCGCAAGCCGAGGCCAATGCTGCCGGCGGTGCTCCTCTATCCATGGAGGCTTTCACTGAAGACTGGAACGAGTCACAGTTTTGGGTACGAACCATTGAAGTCCTCATTTCACTCAGTGTCGTACGTGCTGACTTACCGGGGCGCAGTACTCCGACGAGACGGCAAACCTGATCGCCGGCCAGCTCCTAGAGGGTGCTGACGAGGGCATGACCATTGGCGTTGTGTCTGCGCCCAGCGTGTTTGTTGCGCTGCGGAACTTGCTAGTATGGTTATCAGGGACAGCAACCCTTTTGCAGGCGCGTAACTAAAGTTGGGAACAGAACGCGCGCGATCACACTCTGGGACGGCCTAAGGTTTTGCTCCTTGAGCACGACATGCGGTTCAACGTTTTCCCCGAGTTTGTATTTTACGATTTCCAGCAGCCGTTCAAGCTTCCAGGTGCGTCATTCTTGACCACAGATTTGTGAAAGAATAGTGTTTTGATACCCGATGCTCCAGTTGAGCTGAAGGGCGCGATTGATCGCATCGTTTGCGACCCGCCGTTTCTCAGCGAGGATTGCCAGACGAAAGGTACGAAATCCTAAACCGTTACTGAGCCTCCGAAGCGCTGACAATAGCGCAGCCGCCATGACGGTGCGGTGGATGATGAAGTCTAACTCCGCTTCCAAGGGACGAGTAGTTGTCTGCACAGGCGAGAGAATGGAGAGTCTTGTCAACAAGGTTTACAAGGCACTGGGCGTTACAACCACGACTTTTGAGCCCAAGCATAGCAGAGGTCTTAGCAACGAGTTTTACTGCTACGCCAACTTTGAGTGCAAAGACTGGAAGTGGAGGAATGAGGCTAGTTGAGGAAGTAGGAGGAGCACTTTTCTCTTGGCTTTGGACGAGCTCTTACTACAGAGACCAAACAGTTCCCCCCGACGTGAATTGAAATAGTAGTACACTTCGCTGGTTTCTCGCTGTTCTATACAAAGATGGCCTTTCCCCGGTCGCCAGGGTATGTGATGCCAATGCTTGCCATCCAATGCGTTTGATGTCTGCCAAAGACCCAAACCTAATGTTGATGCAAGACCGAGATTCTTTCCAACGCCGACAAAATGCTAGTCCTGACACCTTTCCCGTTTTTCCAGACTATCAACCCCTGCCTACGCTCCTTGTTATCGAAAGCTGTTTATCATGTGCTCGGCGTACCATGTGCTCTTTCCCGGTGGAGATTACGAGAGGGAGCGGATTATGTAGAAGAGTAGATAGGGTTGGGCACTAAGCACATCCGACTTCGACGCCATTTCGACCTTGTGGTCGTTGAACTTGAACCACTGGTCGCCCACCCGACAGTAGGACACGTAATGGCCTGGCAAAAGAAGTTAGTGCTGAACTGCATCTGCGTTGTTCTCCGGAAATTACTTACCGGTGTCGATTTCGCCGACATGGACGACAACACTGAGTAGGTCGTATGTGCAGGATCTGCCCAGCTCGTGCGCATCCTTGGCTTCCGTTCCTCTGCCTCGGCTCGTGTATGGCAGCATATTGAGCTGCAGTGGAAAGTTGACGACGGTGTCAATCTTTGACGGCGCCCTGTCGTGGCGACCTTGCTTGTACTCGAAGCGCTTTTCTACCAGGTTAGTGGCATGCAATGATGGCTCAAGCAAGAGCCGGACTGACCTTCAGCTGAATGGCAAGCACGTTGGGCAGACGCTTAATACTGGTATTTCTTCGTGCTTGCTGCATGCCGTTGCAATTGTGGCAGCGGTACTCGCACTTGTCATACTTGACGTACTCCTCGTCCAGACATTCTTGAAGTGTCAGGCTCGGGATCTTCTGGCCGCCCTTTTTCCTCTTATGAGCAAGGTTTTCGAGTCCCAAGCTGAGATCGAGGAAAGATTGCACGGCGTTCGTGACACCGCCGCAGTTTTGGCATGTCGTGGAGCTTTGAAGCTTGCCGTAGAATGTCTGGTGGATGATACAGTTGCAGGTATGCTCGCTACCCGTCTCCGGCTTCTTTCCATCCCCATTGCGTTCATGTAACTCCTCGGCTAGGAACTGGAAGAACTCGTGCGCGTCCTGTTCCTTGGTGGTTACAAGGTTTTCAAAAGCCTTTTTCTCCGAGATCCAGAATCCAGACAGGATGCTAGCCGCTGTAAAGCCATTGGTATTCTCAACTGCATAAAAGTCCTGGAACATATCGTCCATGGCACAGCTCAGGCAGTTTGTCAATTGGCAATCGTTGCTCTGGTGTCCATCACTCAGGTAGAAGTTCCGCAGCATGGGGTTGTGAAGGAAGCTCTGCAGCACGACGTTCTGATAGCAAGTGGCACCAGCGTTATATATGCCACGCAGGCCATTAGCCTTGCAGGAAGCGGTTGTCGTATTGGTGGAGATGTATAGGGGGTTGTCCTTGATGCTGTCGGAGAACATCTCATCATGCTTTCTCTTGCGGTCTGGCACTCGTCAGCACTCGTCTACATTGGCTGTCTCTCCTACTATCCATCCTAAAACAAGTGTTTGGGTATTCAACGTTCTCTTGTGGAGATTCAGCTTACTTGAAAAGGTTCCTGTGCCCATCTTGCGTACACGCAATTCCTCAAGAGTGGGGTCCCATACTAGGTCATCACATATTTGACAGTAAAGAGCCCCGCTGCGGGAATCAACATCTGACCAGGTCAGTAGGTGGCAAAGGAGCAGGGTAGGTAGAAAGGGGAACTAACAGAAGCGGTGCTGCTTCTTTGTGCCGTGCTTGAGACGATCGTCCTCGGTAACAATGGTTGAGCACTGCAGACAGAGGTAGTTGGATGTGAGGGAAGTAATCGCTTGTCCATCAGGATTCTTAGACGTCTGAGGCACAATTGGAGTTCCCTCAAAGATGTTCTTCAGTATCATCTTGTAGTGAAACACGGATGAGTTCATGACATCCTGTGACTGGGAGAACAGTTTTTGAACATGCTCTAGTATCGGTCAGCATTGTCTAGGATTTCACAGCAGCGCATCTGACTCCGAATGGAGAAAGGGTCTACGAACCGCAGCCAAAGACCGGTGTGCCTGGAACTGGCGACTTGACCTTAGCAGTCTTGGGGGACATTGGTGTTGTTGGTCGCGCAGACATGTTGTTTGTAGTCGACCACCCAGGTCCTCGGCGGATTTGAGCCTTTATTTTTTTTCTTGTTCTGCTCGCCGATAACAGTGATAGGGGTAGCTTGTCGTTAGAGAGTTGCGACAGCTATGAGAAAGTTGCCTTGTGATGGAGAGAAGAGTCTCAGAGTAGTAATGATGGGGGGGAGGGTGATCGGCAGCGCAGGTCGGAAGGCGACGACAACGGCAGGGAATCTGCGACGACACCAATTGTTAGCTTCAAGGATACGAATATAGAATGGAAAAGCCGTAGCAAACAGAAGACGCATTCACCTCCGTCAACGGCCAACCCAAGGCTACTATAGGCCTGCCGGGGATGGGCTGGCAGCAGTTAATCGTGCGATGAAGCTGCTCAAGACACTGGTTCAACGGCGCAAGCCAGGTGTTGCAGGCGGCAGCTCTGCTCGCGAGGCGCCGAGCCCAGGGAACCGCGTTCGAGACGGCGTGGCGACGGACGGAAGCAGTCGCGGTCTGCAGCAATCAGACAGCACCTGGGAATCGCCTGGACAGGACAGAAGGCGAGCAATTTGGGGGGTTTTGGACGATCCCTGGAAGATGCAAATGTCGAAGCTGGCGCCGCGTGCACAGACGAGAACACTTGCAGGCCGTCCTTTAGCCTTTTGCTCCTACCTTAGCAGAGACGGGCGCGAGAAGCACCTCAGCCAACAGCATTAATTCCACCTTATCGGCACCTGATCGGGGGGACCGTTTCTTATCGATAAGAATTGAGGTGACCTTATCCGCCTGCCGCCTCGCCCCTGAAGGCAGACATCACAAAGGTTGTTCCACTGGCGCCCAGGGAACTTTTTAGTGGGGGCGTAGCTGGGATCAGCCCCCAAGGGCCTGAAGGGGTGGTTGTCACTGGCAATGGAAACCGATGTGATGAGGTAATCCTGCGACTAGGCGTCCATGCCTACCTAAGGAGATAGGACGCCTTTCGTCTCAGCCAACCTCGGCATCTTGGCTGCAACCCCTCGATTGCGCCTTCACCCATCTGCACAGCGACTTGATTTGCCCATATGAAAACAATCCCATCGCAGATCATAGGGGTTCAAGAACACTTAAGACGACGGGACAACAATGCGGGGTCTGCTCCGAAGCGTACTCTCAAATTGCAACTCCAACGCCGGTCCGTGACTAAGACGACTGCACAGCTTCGCCCCTCCGAATCGCGAACATTTTGGCTCTGCTCACAGCCACAGCGTCAAAATGGCAACGAAGCTTGTCTCTCTTCCCGAGGTCGACCGCCTGAGTCCCCTCTGTATACGCATTCTGGGCGGCAACCCGGGAAAGTTCACACTACAAGGCACCAACACATATCTGCTCGGCCGGGG